AGTGCTGAGGTGAAAGGAAATATCTTATAAAAAGTTTTGAAAAAAACATTTCTTCATAGAGAACGCTTTTATTAAATTCCTCTTTAAACTTCATTAAAGAATACAATTTTGTACAAATAATTGAATGTTATGCTACTACTTATAAAAATAAAATCAGAAATCCATTAAAAGATAAGTTCTCTATCATTTTTTCAATTCATAAATGCACACTTGCATTGCCTACTAAGAAAGTTAGTACCGGTAGTCATAGGTTTAATGTGAAATTCTGTGAACTGTAAAGCCACATCTGTCAAATGTTTGTTTGTATTTCACACTGCATAACAGGTTGCTTGATACTTGTTTGCATAAAATTTAACTGAGGGCATGGGTGATATTTAATTTTTCTGATTATTCTTTAATTGTCTTGAGTAGTGTTTTATAATTACCTTGTTTTAAAGATTTTTTAAAGGTCTGTGGCTCAAAATAATAGTAATTTTATACATTAAACTATAATTAAGAAACAGAACAGTGACTTTCCAATTAAGATACTTACACATTTATTTGAAGTTTCTGTTGTTTGAATATGCCCCTTATATTCAGGCTGTCTTATTACAGTTTCACAGAAAATGAGTTATTTTCTACATTACTTGGACAACATATTGATGGAAATCCAAATATGTGTAAAAATTCACACTACCATGTTTGCAGTTTGTAAAACAGCAGTTAAAAAAGAATTTATCACTGTATATTCACAAATTTTGCTTGAAACCTGCCAAAGAGATTTTACAGTTAACACCTATCTTTAATTCATGACATAAAATAACAACTAATCTTATTTTTCAATTAACATTTTTTACATAGCTTACAACACCTTTAAAAAAATAAGAGTAGTAGGTTCTTTACAATGCATGGACCTTCCTTTAAAGTAAGCTTTTATTATTAACTTCTGATCAGAGCAAGCTACATACTTACCGTAAGACTAAATATCAACTTGGTAATAAGGAAAGCTAATTAAATATGTCTCTTTTAAAGTCATCAACCATTCTGAAAGTTGAACCAACAGATGTAAAGAATGTTTGTCATGATGCACTAGAAAATGATGATCATTGGTATAATTCACTGTGGCTGGGACGTATATTTTGCAGTGCTCTCACCCCTTCACGTTGCATTGTCAACAATGTTTACACCTTCCTCTGCTGTGTCCAGGTTCATCATCTCTAATATCATCACTAGATGGAGAGCTAGCATCCTCTTGCTTCATTGCCTTTACATCATCATCACACATTTGAACACCACTTGTCTCACTTTCACTATCTTCTAAGCTATCTGAGTCAAGTGCATCAAGCATATTTACCTGGTAATTAGGGTTACTATTCGCCACTCTAGTGATGCTGGTACATTCGGCACGCAGTTGTTGTACATTCCTCATGGGCACCTTGTTGGTTACTGAAGGGCTGAGTGGAAAACATTGAGGAAAACCATATATCAACATTAGGTGAAATGCCAGTAAATATTTTCCAACTCATTTTACTCCCATACGTCACGTGTGGCAATTTTGAATGACAATAGGAAACATTTGTCCCAGTGTGAAGCACTGGGAAATATACATCCCAGCTGCAGTGAAAGGGTCATTAATGAAAGATTGTGGGAATGAATAGAGATTAAATTTTTTATTTTAGGTAGTGTCTTTGTTGTAAATAAGTTATATTTTTCACACACACAGTTCCTATTTTTAAATACCTTGAACTAATATTATATAGCTTTAGTTAATACATACAATTGTAAAAAAATATATAATTATTTTATTGCAATAAATCAATCTCAAGTTATTTTTTGTCACAATATTTTAATATTTCTTTATTTTCAGTGACACTGGTGATTTCACTTCAACAATATTATGCCAATCGAAAAGCCAGCTATACCATCTAAGAAAAAGAACATATTGTTTTTGTTGCATGAAAATTGAAATTTAAGATTAAGTTAGCCTAAACAAGTGGACATGTAGCAGTAGTAATACTATTAATAACAAAGGAACATGTTTCTGGTGTACAGAATATTTGTTTTATTTCTTAACACATAAACATTCCAGTGATTTGTGCAGTGTGGATGTAGTTAAACCAAAAATTAATTGTATTAAATTTAACATAAATATATTAGGTAATTCTCCTTTTTATCACTTTTGTAACTAAGCATCAGTGTAGGCTATATGTCATGTATCAATTATCTCCTTACTAATAATATATAGTGTAAGATACAATTACTTAATATTACTTTGTGTATTTAACTTGCTTGAATCTATTGAGATTGAACCTCTTCTATAGTTGAATTAATTTTTGAAGACTTACCAAGGAATTCCACGAAGATCCTATTTTCAGTGTAATTCCGTAGACATAAGAATGATGTGATAATCTTCAATATTAAATTTGAATTCTTCTAGGTTTATTTTCAAAAAACATATAAAATGATTGTTTTGGGTTAATATGCAACCATTTCTGTATAACATTTTTTACTGTCAACTTTTGATTAAAAGATAGTAGTACACAGAGAATGAATATGTTGTTAATATTTAATTTATTTCTTTGTAAATATTTTCCCACTTTGGTGTTGCTGCAATTAAACAATGTTATGTTGTTTAACGTTGAAGCTCATGAGGGAAGGAAGAAAGAAAGGTCTAATTAAGAAAAACTAATGATCAATATGTAGCTTTACAAGTGATCACTGCCAACACAAAGTTTTTGAATAAATGTGGTTTTTGGTAGTTGTTTTGGGTGAACAAAAGTTACTCTTAATATTATAAATGAAACATGGGACTAATTTATAATAGACTGCTTCTAAAGCAGTTTTTAATTGTTTTGAAGGCTTAACAGACTTAGGGATTGAAGAAAGTTTCAGATGGAAGATTTCACAGTTTATCAAAAGCTTATTAAAAATCTAAGCTCAGGTGATAGAAATTCTATTATAATTTTTTATTGGTTTGGAAAGACTTAAGTACATCTATTATAATATGCTGTATTTTCATTAGATTTCTAGTTTATTAGAGATTATTTCTGTGCATTGATTTACAGTTTGAATGTTACATTAATCTACTCAAATGTATTAAACATAATTAACTGAAAGAACTGCACTAATTTCAAAAATATCTCAAGCTTCAAATTTCTTTGCACATTTTCTTAAGAAATTGCATATTTTAAACAGTGAAACCATAACATAAGATTACTCTCAGGAAAACTGCCTAATTAAGGTGTTAAGCAGGTTGATTTTTTTTTTTACTTTGCACTTAGTGATTAAAATTTAACTCCATTAATTAAAGCTGTTTTGTTATTCTCACCCATAACAACATGAAATACATGTATAAAAGTTATGTGTAATGGTTAAATCTGAATTGAGTATTAATTTGTAATGGGATATTGACATAATGAACTTGATATAAAATAAAATTCTCCTAGCAGAAACAGTTCTTTGTTGTATTTTATTATCACTTATAAAAAAAAAAACTGGTTCCACTCCTCAGGCCTAATGATTGCTACTGAATGACCTTGCAAAACTGGCACTGATGTGGTAATTGTTATTAAAATTGACTCAGATGCTCTTCAGTAATCTGTAAATCGGTAGATCTAGCAGCAGAAAAAAAAAAAAATTACCATTGGTATTATGAATCGAGGTTTGCTTGTGTTTTCTGAAGTATCCAAAACTGAGAAATGTGCATGTCCTTAACCATATTCTACTGTATTTGTGCTTCTTTTTTTGAGTAACGTTTAATTGTTGGTTGTCAATTTAGCCTGTAGTACTTTCATGTGAGTGCAAATATTTTTAGTATTTTGAAATAATTTTAAGAGGTTGGGGTGTGATTGTATATTAATCTTAAGTTTTTGTGTAGTATCTAAGTGCATAACAAGCAGACTTTTGGAAATTATATAATTGAGTTATTAATACTAGCCTACTATAATGAGAGGTGAATTTGGTTAAACTATAAGTATAATCTTAAAAGTGTCATGAACTATATATCTTTTCTGGCATAAATATTGACTTTGAAGAAGATATACTTAAAAATTTGATTTCCCAACCAATTAATGAAACAAAAGAGACAATTAGTGAAATACAAACATGGCTTAGAAAAAGTTCTTCTAAAAGTGGGAGTTAGAGATACCATGTGGTACACATTTTTTGCATCACTTTCTAGTATGAACAAAGCAAACAGGTTTCAATCTCCTTCAAAACATTCTAGCATAAAGTGACATCAGGTTTTATACCCTTCATTCTAAACTCACCTCTAATTACCTTCTCAGCACACAATTTACATCCATTATTGTGAAGGTTGTTAAACTTAATTGGCCTGGGATGGAGGTGTCATATGAGGAGAGGCTGAAAGCTCTCAAATTGTTTTCTCTTGAAAAAAGAAGAGTAAGGGGGGGATCTGATTGAGGTGTTTAATATTGTAAAGGGAATTGATAGTGTTGATGCATCATTTTTTTTTCATATTTAAAGTGAGAACAGTATGACTAGGGGACACAAATATAAATTTTGGCAAGGTAGGAGTAATCTTCAGCTAAGACAGTTTAATTTTTCTAACAGGGAATGGGTTGCCTTCAGATGTTTTAGAGGCAGTAAATTTAAGTGAGTTTAATAAAAGCTTGATAAGTATATGAATGATAAGGGCTGGCTTTAAGATTTAAAAAAAAATAATTTAGTTTAGAGGATGGAAAGCCAGGATGGACCAATAGGTCCATATTGTCCCAAAACATTATGTTATAATATGATATCTTGCAGTTATTAGTACAATTGCTGCTGGATAGCATCATTTCATACTTACATATATACATCTCTCTGATGAAGTGTGCTTAGAAACAGATGTAGAAGAGAAGACATTTTCTAACTCTGCTCTGAATCTTAACAAGGTTGCTTTCGTGACTGCTGTTGATTCATTTATAATTCAAGAATCACAAGTTATTTGCTGCATCACATTGTCAAAACTTTTCATATACTACTTGGTAGACTAGCAAAATATTCTGTAGAGGCTTATAATTATATTTATTTTAGTAACAACTTTCGTGTGTGAATTATATTCTTTTGTGATAAGAGGTTGAGGGACAATAATGTGCTGGTCTTCTTTTTTTTTTTCTCTCTATCATATAAACTTTATCTTGGTATTCTATTTTTGTATGATTTGAAACAGAACAACACTTCTATTATCATGGTATTTTACCACAGTTATATCTGATTCCTGATTACTTTGGTAATCCACACTAATTTCTTTGTTGGACTAAAAACCAAGGTCAGGCTTTCCCAAGCAGCACCAATATAGTGAATACCCATATCTGTAATTTTCTTTTCCCCAAATCTCATAACTACAGAACAATTGTTAAAAAAAAATACTTTGCACAGACATTGGAACCAGTGGTGCTATAGCACCCCCAGTTTTACATATTTGACTTGTATAGCAACTGTAAATTATATTATTATTATGCCTAGCTAAGCACCACCACTTTGAAACTCCTTCCTACACTACTGCTTTGAAAAGGCAATGAAGCAAAGAACAACTGAGCCACCAGTTCCAAGTTTATTGCTTTTGATAGTTTTTCCTCTCATACACTTTAAACACATATCTAGAACTCCCTGCCAAATCCAATAATCTGTAATCCCACTTATTTTTTCATGTGAATGTCATCCCTTGAAGGTGATCATCATTTCACAAAATTAAGATAGTCATCATAGTACAACAGGACCAAACATGCTAGCTGAAGACTATATAGTCCACTATTCCCCATCCACTTAGAAAAATATTCCTGGCTACCACACATGTACAAATGATAGATATAACTTGCAATTAGAGGTCCCTTAAGTAAAACGTTTTTCATAAGCAGTGTGGTTATATTTTATTTATTCGTTCAAGTATAGATTAGCAGTGGTAGAAAATCAATCTAATACGAGTTGTTATACTATTATGTGTGCATGGTTATACTGTATGTGGAAAAACATTATTGTACTAAAGATTACATTGAATTTTATCAACTGCTTTGGAGCACTGGATGTTGTACTCTAAGCTAAAATTCTTTAGGTCCATCAAATGCAATGAAACTCCTATTTGATTTCAGTTTTTTAACATTCTTCTTAGTTTATCATTGGTTAAAAAGAACTATAAAAAGACATACTCGAACATGATTTCCATTACCTTCGTTAACTTGAGTTATGTAATAATTTGGTGTGTCTGTAGAGGAAAGTTTCATGATGTACACTATCTGTTGATCTTTGGTAAAGCTAGTTATTGATATTTATTATTAAATGGAGTATTGTAATTGTAAATATTGTGTATTAATAAAAGTGAAGTTTATATATATTACAGTCTGTTGTTTAATGCATTACAGTCACAATAAAACTTTATGCAAAACTTGAATTTAATATGAATTTGTCTGCCTGTGGTTGAATAGCATTTTGGCTTCTATGACATAAGACTTAACTTCCCCAATTGAAGACCAAATTCATTATACACGTTTTCATTAATTTTGTATTATTGATTTATACAGTATTTCATAAACTACTATACTGTTTACAGAACCAAAACACCCAGACAATTAACATATGAAAATCTGGTATATATATACAGTTCAGTTTTGTGAGAGTTAATCTTTTTAGTGCCAAAAATTCATTTCTAGCACTCCACAATTGAGATTCTTGCTTTGCACTTTCTTTCTCTCAACATTATTGACATCATGATGTGCTTGAAGACAAGTGGTTAATTACTTTTGATGTGATGGTAACCTGGGTTTCTACCAAGCTTATTATTGTACAAAATTCAAAAGTTCCCTGTTGACTTAGCTGTAAGCTTGTGTTTTATAAGGCTAGAAATATGGGGTTTGATCCCTACAGTAAACACAGTTCAGATACACCATTGTGAGTTTTTCATTAAGATACAAAATTCAATTCTACATTTTTTTCTTCTACTAGAAGTGTATTTTGTTTATTTTCCTTTTTGTAGTAAGTAACTATTATGGGCCACCAGTAGTGGAAGTGTTTTCTTTCTTCCTTTGATTTTTGTACAATATAGTTGCTATGGGACTCTCTGGGTTATTAGTTACAAATCAGTACTTATCCTCCTCCTGATATATATTTATGCCATGTAGCATTTTCTATTTTTTCTGTCTGTGGTCTTTTAAAAGCTGAGAGAGCAGACTTACAAGTTTTTTAAAAAGATTTTCTGAACTTGGTAATAATATTTGCACAAAATTACACAGTGTATAATTCTAATTTGGTTCATTGCAAAATCCTGATAGATGAGTATTAAGAGGGAACCATCAATTTGCATGCGACTACCATGATCTTAAGGTTCAAGACAGCCTTAAATCGGGAACCTCACTTGCCTAATACATTCAAGGAATAATTATTATAAGGCAAGAATGGCTTTAACAAATATGTAACACAAATGTGCAGTTTTTTCTGGGATTACTTTTAATCCACTTTCCATTCTGATTTCTATCAATGGTTGTGTAATGGGAAGCACCCTTAGGGCTGCTCGTTGGAGTTTCGACTATTCTGCCAATTACACCAAATTTATTTAGTTGGGGGATTGCAGTGGTGAGTGGAGCTTACAAGTTGCTAACTTGAGGTAATTTACAATTAGAATAAAGAAACGGATTCCAAGACCAACATCACACAAAATACATCAACACTTATTAGGTCTTTCCACATGGTATATACTTTTAACATCAATAGTTAAACATTTACTAAACCATTAGTTTCTCACAACTCTACTTTTCACTTAACACTATTAACCAATACACAAAATATTTCTCCCTATTATAAGCATTAACTTCCTTTAGTAAGCTACATTAATTGAACAAGAGAGATAGCAATTATATAATTACAACAATGTTGGACTGGTATACTTCTGGAGGTTGGAAATCTTCATATTCATGGTTACTTGGAAAATCTGAATTCTTCCTGGAGAACTGATTTTTAGCTCCAGACACGAGTTCTTATACCATAATTTCTCTGTATTCTTTTTACCTTCCAAATAGTATTCCTAACTACCCGCAAGTAGTTCTAAGACTTTATTGGTCTATTTGTGCAACTTCCCGGGCTAATCCAAAACTCTCACGTAATTGGTTACTATGATGGTGAGTGCTCCTGCTGCCTTTTTACTTGTACTATTACACTGGGCTGAAATAACAGATCTAACATCAAAGCAGCGATTTGAGATGTTATCATGAACTTTTTAGTAGCTTCTACAGTGCTACTAACTTAGCATCAGTAACTTATCACTGTCAAGCTTGTGACTAGCATTTTTCTCAGCATCCTCGCTGTAGCTTCATTCTCAATAGTAATTAACAGGTAACTGTGCTTTGCCTAGTTAATGACCTAATTTCGTAGCACAGGTATCCTTACTTATGCCATTTCTTTATGTATGTGTATCACACTCAGAATACTTAAATCTCTGTAGCTTCTGTCTTAACTCTTGATAATTAAAAATAAGAAGCAATTGTAAAATTCCCCAAAAAAT